TTTTACTTATGACTCATCTAAAGTAGTCAAATTCATAGAAACAGAAAATAGAATTGCAGGGCTGGGAGAAGGAAAAAATGAGGAGTTGTTTTTAACGGGTATAGAATTTTAGTTTTTCAAGATGAGTATGTTCTGGAGATTGGTTGCATAATGGTATGAATAAACTTAAGGCACCCCAAATGTACACTTAAAATGACTAAGATGATAATTTGTTTCCCTTCTAAATACTGGATTCTTAAAAGACAACTACATAATATCTTCAAAGTCCAAATTCAAATAAACAGCTAAAGCTGTCTGATTTACCTGTATTTTATACATACAAAATAATGAAGTAAATATTTTACCTCATTTTAGTCACTGCTACATTATTCAAATGGTACAAAAAATAATTTGGAAATGAATCTACTTAAGGCATTATGAAAGAGCCAAGAGATTAATGAAGTGATCTACACAGTCAACACCAGTAACAATCAAGCTGTTCTTGCAGTTGTTTAAACAATAATAGTCTTTAAGTCCTTTAAGCTTACTATCAAAATATTTAATACGACTGATTTGAACTTTCCTATGTGCTTTGTGTTTTACTTGTTAGTTTCTGCTTTAACATTTATTACAAGAAAAAAAATAAAAAACACTGTAATAGAAAAATCAGGAACAGGGTTTGTGATTCTCATTAAGGTGATGAGCCTGAGTTTCTTTACTAGTTAAATGAAACATTCTACATTGATTGGATCATTCCTCAACAGTTTACTGCTGGATGCTTGCTATAGGGAAAATACAGGTCTGAAGAATACAATGGTAACGAGTATCATCACACTCTTTCCAAGATTAAGAGAGACAGCAGCATACGTAAACTGAAACAGACAATCCAATAGTTAAAAACGTAGATTAGTAATTTGATGAATAATTAAGTTGGGGGGTCTGGGGGCAGGCAGCATCATTTTAGGTATAACAGAATGAAATGAGATAAAAATAGAGCTCTATGGTTCACAAAAAGTACAAGGAAGTATAGATAGGAGAAGAATGCCAATGATCAAAAAACAAAATATCAAAAAGCTAAAATATGCTAATGATAACTACATGAAGTCCAAACCAAACATATCAAGAAAATACAGTTACATGACATTAAAGAAAAGGTTCTCCAGGTGTCATGGTGTTTGCTAAGCCATGAGGAGAAAAGAACTGAGAGGGTAAGGAAAATATTAAAGGCAAGAATCAGAAAGAAGTAAATTTAACATTATGCTAATCTATCCCTAACACCAATTTATAATAGTATTTATCTTAAATAATAATTAAAAAAACAAACTTTCTACATAAGGTTTAAAAAATACCCAAAGTATTCTTTTCCTGAAAGATTTTTATTTGAGACAGAGCAAGCAAGTCAATGAGAGAACACAATCAGGAGGGGCAGGAGAGGAAGAAGCAGGCTCCTCACTGAGCAGGGAGGGTCCTGAGCAAGACCCTGGGATCATGACCTGAGCCCAAAGCAGACGCTTAACCAACTGAGCCACCAGGTACTCCACCAAGAGTTCTTAATGTCTCAAGAAGGAAATGAAAATAAAAAGGGCTTCTTGAAAGGTTATTTTCCTTCCTTAATGAAAAAAAAAATTTTTTTTAAAGGAAGATAAAGAGGCATGAGAAAGTAAAGACTAAACAGAAAATAAAAACTGATTTTAGTTGGATTATTCCGTATCTAAGCCTATCCTAAATATCTGGGGCAGCTCTTAGCAGAATAACCTCATTACAATGATGTACATGACAAAAATGCTATCTATCTAGTATGGACAGAAAGCGGTACTTTGACAAAGGTTCAGTATAAGACTGAGATCCTAATTTCTTAACTAAACTGAAACAAAGATCATTCAATTTTTTTTTAATTTTTTTTAAATTTATTTATTTATGATAGTCACAGAGGGGGGGGGGGCAGAGACACAGGCAGAGGGAGAAGCAGGCTCCATGCACCGGGAGCCCGATATGGGATTCGATCCCGGGTCTCCAGGATCACGCCCTGGGCCAAAGGCAGGCGCCAAACCGCTGCGCCACCCAGGGATCCCAGATCATTCAATTATTTATTCATTTAACTTAAGAGTCACTCAGCTCTAGAAGTACCAGCTATGTTGGCCAGGTTTGGTTGCCACTGGTACAGAACATAAGATCAAAAGGAATTTGGAGAGATTTCTGTTCTGGTTAAAATAAGTAGCTATTAGGCTTCTATCATCCAATCTATTTCTCTTCCAGTATACCACACATTTGAACCAAAAAGGAATAGTTTAGGGTGGGAATAAGGGAATATAATTTCATGGAGCAATCTCTATGATGGAACTTAATACTGTAATTATCTTTACTAGAAAAACATAAAATGAGGAGCCTAGTGGCTCAATTAAGCATCCAACTCTTGGTTTCTGCTCAGGTCATGATCTCAGGGTCCCAGGATCAAGCCCTTTGTAAGGCTCTACACTCAGTGGAGTGGAATCCCACTTGGGATTCTCTTTCTCTGCCCCCCCCCCCACCTTCCTCTCTCTCTCTCTAAAAGAAAGAAATCTTTAAAAAGAAATAAATCTTTAAAAAGAAATAAATAATAAATGATACATACTTATCATATCAGCTTCTTTTACTAAACAAATTTTAATCTCTGCCATACAAATAGTGTAAGTTTATTAAAAGAATAACCAATTTCATTTTTTTATCCCTACAAACCAAAAAGTATTTTACCAAGTAATCTGAAGTCATCATGTATCATCAATCAAAATGGACACGTCTGTTGGTTAAGCAACAACTTAGTTTTGGCTCAGATCGTGATCTCAGGGTTGTTAAGATTGAGCCCTGTGTCAGGCTCACGCTCAGTGCAGAGTCCACTTGAGATTCTCCCCCTCTCCCTCCTCTGCTACATGTGCTCTAATAAATAAGTACATCTTTAACTTAATATGCTAGAAATGAGATCAAGTTAAAAATTAAATGAGGGAAATTTTTCATTTTTCCCATGTGAATACATTTTTTATTGCTATTTTAACTTTTCAGAAATCCGTAAGGCTTCTAGATTCTTGAAGGGTAAAGTTTCCAAATGGTAACTTTTGGATAGGTAAACTATCATCATCATTATTATTAATATACTAGTAGATTCACTGATTCATATTTTCATATGGAAAATACCTTGCTTAAAAAAAGAAAATAAATGGATCAGGAAATTAGCATACCATTGTGTCAATAAATGTCATGATAATAGTATATTATTATAAAAATATTATAAGTAATCTATTCAACATACTAGTCCATTCCATCCCTACAACCAGCCAGTAGTGACATACACCACCACCACCACCACCACCACCACTACTACTACTACTACTACTACTACTACTACAACTACTACAGTAAACATTTATCTCCCTACTTTCTGCCACCCACTACCTTAAATTTCATTAGGGTAACTATCCTCCCCCATCAATAGCTAGAAGTTAACCTAATATTCTCACCTCTGAATTGTTCAGGAGAAGCATATGACCTAAACAGGTTTAGCATGACAAAAGGAGATCTTCACCCAAGTTTCTGGAGGAAAAAAGCTGCACAAGCTTGTAGTCTGCTGTCCTTCTATCCCCCCTCCTTTTCCTTCTTTCAATTTCTTCTTTCCTCCTTTTCCTTCTTCTCTCCTCCCCCCAGGTACAACAGAAAAGACCATCATTCTCCCCTGGAATGTGGAGATATGAAGATATGAAACCTAGAGCTAAGGGGGTAGAAAATCCAGTACTGAATGGGACCTGAGGATAAAGATAACAAGGGAAAGCAGAGCCAAGAAATGGTGCCTGGACACACATGACCTCTGAAACATTATTTACACGCAATTTTAGTCATGTGTGCCTGTGTTAGGTTAGATTTTTCTGTCACCTGCAATAAACCCTAACCCTAAGAACCTTATATCAGGGTCTAGTCCTTAAGGCTTCAAACACCTTTTTTTTTTTTTTTAAAAGAGAGGGAACAAGGGGGAGGGGCACAAAGAATCTTAGGCAGGCTCCATGCCCAGCTCAGAGCCTGATGCAGGGGCTCAACCTCAGGACCCTGAGATCATGACCTTAATCAAAATAAAGAGTCAGATGCTTAATTGACTGAGCCACTCAGTCTCCCCTTAAGCACCATTTTTATTTATTTATTTATTTATTTATTTATTTATTTATTTATCTATCTATCTATCTATTTATTTTTTTTTTTATTTTTACCATTAAGTTCTAGCAAAAACTGTCAAATAATGTCTAACAATGATTTTCCACTTGAACAAAATCTTAAGATAAATTCCATTTGTTTTAAGGCTAAAATTTTTCCTTTAAAACTGTTATCTTTTTTTTAAGATTTTATTTATTCATGAAAGACACACAGAGAGAGGCAGAGACATAGGCAAGGAAGAAGCAGGCTCCCTGCAAGGAGCCTGATGTGGGACTCGATCCTGGGACTCCGCCCTGAGCCGAAGGCAGATGCTCAACCAGAGCCACCCTGGCATCCCTAAAACTATTATCTTCTAACACATAATCCAAACATTACTTTCATCAGTAATATATATATCGGATTTTTGACAGAAACACAGATCAACACACTCAATTTCTAAGTTAATAGAAACTGAGGATCCAAGAAACTTAAGAAACCTTCAACACTAAAGCAAAACGTTACAGTTTGGAAAAACTGTATTACTCAGCTATTTCTTTTTCCTAGCATTTTGCTTCCTGATTTTAGGATTTTAAGATATTTCTGGAATGATGTCTGTTCATGATCTAGTTAGCCAATATTCCTTGTGGTAATAGCAATGATTTAATTAAATTGATCATTAAAAAAAATCAGTTACCTAATTCAATCTAATTCTGACCCAAAAAAAACCTGACAGAATTTACATTTATTTAATACTCAACTACTTAAAGATGTAATTTCAATTGAACACCAATAAAATAAATAAATATATATATAAGTATATATAAAAAGAGGTAATTTCATTTCTGAGAACTGAAAAAACTTTAACTTACCTCAATTGTTTCGCATAGTTCTGTTCAATTTCTATCCTCTCTTTAACAAATTTTGCATATCTTTCCAAGAAGTCAATTCCCCATTGTGTATGCTTGTCTAAGCTGTCGAACTGATCCTAGAAAAGGAGGGTAAAAACACATTGATAAGTCTAAAATTTTATCCACAAGCATTTTATACAGCTTCTGATATTTATTCAGAGAGGTAATGAAGTATAAAAGGAAAATATCTAGGCTTTTCTGCTAGTCTCTACCCACTTCATCCTTTAAGACCTACAGAGAAATAGGTTATAAATGCTAAATTTCTTATAATGCTAACTTCTTAGCATAATTCACTCTACTTTATATCTAAATGACTTTACATATGTGGTTTCCCTGGACCCAACACAAGTCCCCTCTTCACCTTTTAACAATTTACTCCTTGAAGACTTAGTTCAGGTACTATGGCTTCCAGAAAATGGCCCTCAATTCTCAGACTGGGATATGTTGGTCTTTCTCTGGGTCTCCAAAACTCCCCAAAGTTACTATCTTTTCTTTAAGTTTTTATTTAAATTCCAATTAGTTAACATACAGTGTAATTATTAGTTTCAGGTATCCAGTACAGTGATTCAACACTTCCAAACATCACTTGGTGCTCATTACAAGTATACTCCTTAACTCATCCCACACCCCCTCACTCATCTCCCTTCTGGTAACCACCAGTTTTGTTCTCTATGGTTAAAAGTCTTTTTTTTAGGTTTCTTTTTTTCCCCTTTGTTTTGTTTCTTATGTCGGTCTTTCTCTGACATTTCACTTAAAAAAAATACTCTTTAGCTCCATCCATGTTGTTGTAAGTGGTTAAGATTTCATTCTTTTCTATGGCTTTTTAATATATATTCACATCTTTTTTTTTAAAGATTTTATTTATTTATTCATGAGAGACAGAGAGAGAGAGAGAGAGAGAGAGAGAGAGAGAGAGGCAGAGACACAGGCAAAGGAAGCAGCAGCCTCCACGAAGGAAGCCCGACATGGGACGCGATCCCGGGACTCCAGGATCACCCCCTGGGCTGAAGGCAGGCGCTAAACCTCTGAGCCACCCAGGGATCCCCCACACCACATCTTCTTTATCAGTTTATCAATCAATAGACACTTGGGCTGTTTCTGTAATTTGGCTATTGTAGATACTGCTGCTATAAACATTGGGTTGCGTAGATCCTTTTGAATTAGTATATTTGTATTCTTTGGGTAAATACCTAGTAGTGTGATTGCTGGATAATGTAGTTCTATTTTTAACTTTTTGAGGAACCTCCATACTGTTTTCCACAGTGGCTAGACCGGTTTGCATTCCCACCAGCAGTGCAAGAGGGTTCTGGGTTCCCTTTATTCCACATCTTCACCAACACCTGTTGTTTCTTATGTTGTTAATTTTAGTCATTCTGACAGGTGTGAGTGATAACCATAGTTTTAACTTGTATTTCCCTGATGATCAGTGATTTTGAGCATCTTTCCATGTGTCTGTTAGCCATCTATAGTTCTTAGGAAAAATGTCTATTCACATCCTCTGCCCATTTTTTAACTGGATTATTCATTTAAGTGGCGCTGAGTTTTCTAAGTTCTTTATGTATTTTAGATACCAACCCTTTATGGGATATGTCATTTGCAAATATCTTCTCTGATTCCATAGGTTGCATTTTAGTTTTGTTACCTGTGTCCTTTGTTGCATAGAAATTTAGAAATTACTATCTTATTCACTTGCCATACTCTGTGGAGGGCAGGAACCATGTTTTATCCAACTCTGAACTCCCAAGGCATAAGCGCCATGCCTTGCATCATTGCAGGCAGCCAATGAAGCTATATATAAATAAAATCAAATATACATCAGTTCAAATTCTGGGCTCTGCATTTACCAGATGTTTGACATTGGGCAAATTACCAAGGCCTTCTGAATTTTTTCCATCTTAAAATGGGAGTCCCACCACACCTCAATAGGGTTATGAGGATATTATTAAGTGCTGTACAATGCAGTAAACATGATACTAACACATCACAAAGTATCACTGGTCCTGCAGAACTCTCTCAATCCTCAAAAGATATTCCTTTCTGTTGCCTAAGAAACCACCATTTTCTATTCTTCAAGAATAATCTCCAAACTAATATCTTGGTGCTTTCTCCTTCTCCCATATCAAAAGTCTATAATGTTGACAAAGAGTTCAAAAACCATCCCTCTTCTTTATCTCTAATTGTTCTTCTTTTTCTAAATCACATGGATTAATAGGATTCGTTATTTACAAATAAATCATCTTCAAGTCTTTACCTTTTATCCCTTTCCCTACTTTAATTCATCTTAAAATTCTACTCATGAAGGTAAGTAAATTCTATCTAAACAGCAGAGATAGAATTCATCTGGCTGTCACAATTTGGTATTACTACTCTAATTCTATTCTTTCATGCAACTTTTTCATTATCATTTGGCCTCCAAAGTAGACTTGAACAGAGCAAGAGAATGCACTGCCCAGTAAGCTTAATTAGAATATTAGTATTTCCTATTATAAATTAAATTTCCTTTCAAACTGAAAAACTCTCAACAAAAAACATTTCCCTAAAAACCAACAGTCTGAAGTTCTAACACTCATCCTTCATTTTTCCAAAATGTTTCAAAGGCTTCTTCTCACCATCTTCTTCATCAAATTTTACATTAACACTTCTTTATCTTCTAGATAAAATCTTTGATTTTTTTAAAATTATAAACTATCCATAAAAAATTTAAACAACCATATGTGTTTAATCATAAATTATATAAACTATACCATTAAATTATGTAATTATGAAATTCAGAAAAAAGAAATCTTAAAAAGGAAGTAAAACTGAAATGTTTGTTTTAAATAGTTTTTTTTTAACATACTTAACATACTTAACAAAAGCCTTTGGGCCATGACTTTTTAAAATATTAACAATTTTAGTGAGAGCAATGAATTAAATATGCTTCATTATTTCTAAAATCTTGGTGTAATACTTAATGGTAGGGCGCCCAGGTGGCTTCAGTTGGACTCTTGATTAAAGCTCAGGTCATGGTCTCAGGTTGTGAGATGAGCCCTGAATGGGGGCTCCAAGCTCAGTGCAGAGTCTGCTTCCCTCTCCCTCCCCCTCTTTGCCCCTTCTCTCACTTAGGCATTCAAGTTCTCTCTCTCAAATAAATAGAATCTTTAAAAAAAAAAAAATTAATGGCAAAGAAATCTCAAGCCTTGGTTCCAAACTGCGACAATTAGTTTTTAGTGGTCGTCATAGCTAGGGAAACAAAAAGACTCACAAAACTCTAAAGATCTAAGTGGAAAAAATTCACTATGGACTGTACTTTCCAAATCCTTTTTCAATCTTATTCACCAATATGTAACAGTTTGTGTTAAAATTAGGGTAATAAAGATCCTTGATGTTAGGCTGTTATTTTTACAAACTAATCAGAAAGCACTGCATCGTCATATTTTCAACACATAGGTTCAAACTCCACTGAAACTGATGTGATTTTTGTCTGTCAATTTGGCTAGGCCACATTGCCTATAATTTTGGTCAGATATTATCCTGGGTGTTTCTGTGAAGGCATTTTTTAGATAAGATTAATACTTAAATTGGTGAATTTATAATAAAACAGAGGATAATCTGTTTTATTATCCTAAAGTGAACAAGCCTCATCCAATCAGTTGAAGGCCTTAACAGAACAAAGACTAATCTTCCCTTACGAGAAGGGATGCTGCCAGCTGACTGCCTTTGGGCTAAAATGGCAACTAGAACTCTTCTTTGTCCCACCTTGCAATTTGGACCTGCCAAACCTTTAAAATCATGTGACTAAAGTCTTTATAAACCAATCAGTCTCTCGTTTTCTCTACACACACACTCACACCTGTCAGTACTAAAGATAAAATATTTGCTGGTCCATACATTATTCTCAGCAACAAAATTATATAATGATGGAAGCATTTCCAAACATCCATCATCAAAATGCTTTCTCCACAGCTCAAATTTCTTTGGCAAAGTAGCTATTCACTATTAAAATGTTCTGTAGTTTGATGGGACAGATTAAATTTTCTCAAAAATACTTGACAGGAAAGCATATTACTAACAGCTACTTATTAAAGAAATTGCGGGCAGCCCGGGTGGCTCAGCGGTTTTAGCACCGCCTTCAGCCTTTGTCCCAGGATCGAGCCCCACATCAGGCTTCCTGCATGGAACCTGCTTCTGCCTCTGCCTGTGTCTCTGCCTCTCTCATGAATATATATATATATATATATATATATATATATATAATATATATATATATATATAAAAAATCAACATTTAAACAAACCTGTATGAAACAAAGATTTTCAGTGGTCCCTCCCCATTTCATTTGGAAATATTGTCAAAAGTCTATCTGCTGTATTGTAAAGGCATTGTTTTTATAAATAATGACCATTTTTATAAATTACCATAATAAAAATATGCTGTAATATCCTGTGACCTTCTGGCTTCACTTATGTTTTTGCTTACCAATAAATGATGAAGTGAATAAATTACAACCGTATCCCAATTACCTTTCTAATATCCCAGTCAATGCACTGTTATATCACTGGTTATAATCTGTTTTTCATAAAACTCTGTTTAGATCATTTACTATTATGAATAAATCATCAGGGGTGCCTGAGGAGGTTAATCAGTTAAGCATCTGCCTTCAGCTTATGTCATGATCCCCAAGCCACACATGGGGTGCCCTGCTCAGTGGGAGCCTGCTTCTCCCTCTTTCCCTCCTTCCTGCTTATGCTCTCTCACAAATAAATAAAATCTTAAAAAAAAAGAATAAATCTTCAACACATCTTTCCTTTAACTACTTTCCAAAAAAAGTAGTTCTAAATAAACTTTATTATTGAAACAATCTTACAAACATATACTGAAATATTAGAAACATCTATATCTTAATTAAACTATACAACCATGCTTTCATCATATAATTTTTTCTAAAATATTTCTTTAGGGGTGTCTCCTATGAGCCTTCTAACAGTATTTGTTGAGATTAGTTTGTCACCATGTTGTTTTATATATAACATGTGTTTTTACCACAAAAGGAAGAGTAAGTATATTCCTAGTAGCATGCTTTTACCATTAAGTCTAA